TCTGTTTCCAATTGTGACTAAATCTGTCATAACTAATAAAGACCTACACCAAAACTAATGTTAACTGCTAGGGCAAAACTGCTAGAGCAGGAAACCCTAAATGATGTGGAAATAATTGCATATGAGGGTTTCTATACCCTTATTTTCATTTCACATGTACGCTAGTTACTTTGCCACCGCAAAATATGGCACTATCTTCAGTTTGTCATGATACACATGGAACTTTCAAGCCAGTGTCTGGAATTGTTTTTATCTAACGAAAGGACTAAAAGGTGCAATATGACCAGTTTCATCCCTGTATCTTTACCTGCTTCCAGAAGTGTAGTACAGTAACTTATGTTGACCAGTGTTCCTTGTAAGCTGTGAGCTTGTGCAGCTACTAATGCCACCCAGCTGATTCACTGAGTGCCCACAGTTGGGTTTTTGGTTCTACAGGCGGTGCACATTCATACATGCCTCAGTACATATACAATTATTCCACACATGGACGGAAAAAATGAGAGCGAATATTGATGAAGACTTCCATTATAAACTTCCGTTCCCATCTATTCATAACTTTCTAACAATAGTATGTTTAAGACTGACATTTTCCATCTTCTTCTCCATCCAAAGTGATTTCACACACACACACACACACACACACACACACACACACACACACACCCATGGTCCTCCAAAGGCAGGAACAAGTTTGGATGAAATGTGTTCACCCATTTTTGAGTTAGGAAAGTGTGGATGGGAGCAATAAGCAGGATCAGGGCTCTTTCCATAAACTCAAGACTGGCTTCCAGGCCAATTTAGACCATTTTAGAAACAAAACTGAAAAATCTAGTTTGCGGTAGGAAATTCCAGCTAATCTTAAGGCTACACTATGGAACAATGGAATACTCAACATGAACTTAAAATTAAATGTGGTGTGTGTGTATGCTTAGTTACTGAGGTCTAGTTAGGTAGGCTGTTATTTCACTATGTTTTCCCAGAGCTGCATAAGCTTTTGATTATACAACTGCAGTAATGCACAGTGAAATCTGCTTGGCAATTAGGAGCTTAATCTTTTTATTTTGCTTAGGTTTTCTTTCCTTCTGACAGCAGCATTAAACACATTAAAGGTACAGTTTTCAAGTACCGAACTTCACAGCAGTATGCAAACTGGGGCTTTGAATGCTGCCCTCCGGCAGTCACCTTTACAATTTCCAGTTTTGCCTTTGCAGATAGGTAGCATTGCCATAGTATTTGCAACACTCTCTAAATTTCCCTGTATCTTATGTGGGGGATGGGAAACACTCTGGGTAGTGTTTACACATTAAAGGTACAGTTTTCAAGTACCGAACTTCACAGCAGTATGCAAACTGGGGCTTTGAATGCTGCCCTCCGGCAGTCACCTTTACAATTTCCAGTTTTGCCTTTGCAGATAGGTAGCATTGCCATAGTATTTGCAACACTCTCTAAATTTCCCTGTATCTTATGTGGGGGATGGGAAACACTCTGGGTAGTGTTTAGTGGGGGGGGGGGGGGAGAGTAACTTACATTTCTTATAGGTAATGCCCTATCGCAACCTCCCTTGGGGAAGGCTCAGGGCAGGGGGCTGGGTGTATGTGTGAGGGGTGCAGGAGTCAGGCCAGGGAGCTAGAAGTATGGGGGAGAGGCTCAGGACAGAGGCTTGGGTTTGTGTGTAACGGGGAGGGGGGAACTGGGGCTAGGGCAGTCCTAATCACTGCTGAGCTATCTTACCCGGCTAGTGGATGGCTCCCAACCTTGCTGCTTCTGCTCGTTGTGCTGCCACAACGGAGCTGTGGGCAGACTGTGTGGGGGCCCTGCTGCTGGGCGGTGTGAGACCCCCTGGCCTGCCACTCCCTCCCCCAGCTTCCTCCAGGGGTGCACGTGCGCTGCCTGGCATCCAGCCAGAGGGGGAGAGCAGCACAAGTGCGGACACTCAGGAGACCGGCTGGGAGTGTGCACACCTCTTCCAGGGCACCCCTAGCCGTCCCCTGACACTCCTGCCTGCCTCACCTGGCTACGTGTGCACAGCCGCCACTGCAGCAGGAGTTCCGAGAGCCCAGCTGGGAGGCAGTAGAGCATTCCAGCCAGCTCTCAGCAGGGCGCCCCTGCCAGCTCTTGCTGGCACACCACCTCACTCTCACCTCTGAAGGCAAATGAAACGTTTTCAAGCATAACCACTGCACGAATGCGCTATCAATCCAGTGTAAGATACAAATACGCACAGCCCTTGTGCCATTTCTCACCTCTGCAAGCCTGGGCTTAAACTGCTGGCAGAAATATAGAAGGAGAAAGACCCATAAAACGGGAAATTTTCCAAGGATGGTCATTTTTTGAACCACCTTGCAGGTCCTCCTTTATATAGCTCATTTTAACACATTCTGAAATCAGGGAGAAAAATCTCGTTTCCGTTCTTGAGCATATATCACGGCATAACCAGAAACAGCACTGGACACACAGATGCTATACTTTTAGTTGATCTCAATCTCCTGGCTGCTCTTCAGCATGGATTTGATATTGGAGGGTTTCAGTCTTCTCCAGGAATTCTGGTTGTCCTTGCTTGCTACTGAATCCAGCAGGAGAGGTGGATGCGCAGCAGCTACTTACATTATAGGATCAGGCCAGCTGTGATCGCAGTCCAAGGCAAAGTGGAAAGTGTGCTATCAAACCGCATAATCCTATTCAAGATATTCATAATAATACACATCTGGGCCAGGTCCACCACTGGAGTTACACAGCAGTGAAACTGGCCTTTGGAATATGTATGCACGTACAGCAATGTTGCTTTGTTATGTACATGCCCCCTACCTGTCTGAGAAATACACACACTTTACCATCAGCTAGCTAATAAATATTGCAATTGGCTAATACAACATAGCCTACCATAGAAACAGATTCTGTTCTCAGTGATGTTAGTGTAAATACAGTGTCAGTCACTTGATTTCGCTGACATTCACCAGTGTAGCTGAAAACAAAATTCACTCCTTCGGCTTTATTCCTTTTTCCTTGATTTTAAACTGTGAAAACCACATATGTTTTTGTGTCACTTGCTGTTCAGATGTAAAGCAGAAGTGCGAACAGCTTTAAATCCTTTTAAGATAACTGATACCATGTAATGATCTTGCAGGTCCTGAATGCCCTTGATGAATTGGGAGATTTTCTACAACTGAAATATTCACGGCATTCCAGGTCATCTCGTCCTGAACTATACGATGAAACAAGCTTTGAACTTGAAGATTAAGTTTCCCACCCGTGAAGAGAACATTAAGATGTTACCAAAAAAAAAGAGGGAAAACGCCTAAGAAATGTGAATGCATTTCTCAATTAATTGAACCGAGGGGAGGCACTGTTGTTGCATTTTACTGTATCAAATTTCCATGTGCAAGAGACTGTTGCTACAGAACTACCCCTATGGAGTTACATGCTTTTTTAATGTATTTTTTATGCAAGCAGACTGTCCCATTGGTCAAGTTTCTACTGTGCACCCTTGGTGCCTCTTTATGAAGAGGCTTTGGGTAGTTCTTAGGTCTGGTTGAAACAATAAATTTGAAACCTGAATGGATTCCAGTGTAGTATGTTAGCTTGCATGAATTTCAACCATCAGGCTGGATAGTACCTAATGCATCAATGTGGACTGCCCCCGAGGAAATGGCAGATAAAGATCTTCTTACCTAATCTCCACATTTTGCGTTCTCAAAGGACAGCAGCTGTTAGGAGGACAGACTAGCATATGAGCAAGCGTTCATAACAGAAATCTACTTATATTAAATATTTCTGACAGAAACCTGTGTTCTTGGCCACTTGATGTTGCAAACAAAGCCAACTCACTCTAAGATTGTATAGTCTGTGAAGAAAGAATACACGAAAGGCTTCGTAGTGTGCGGACACCAATGTTGCATGCGAATTGAATCTTTTTGTTAATGGTGGAAACTCTTTTCTGCTCTAATACTCAATCTACAGCCTTATATGCATCTTATTGCCACTGAAGTTACTTGGCTGGCTTGTTCCCTTTTCATGTAGCAGTAGCAAACAATTTTAATAACCCTTTATATTTCCTATAAAGCACTGATCAAAACACTCAGATACTTGCAGTTCACAAACTGCAGTTGACATTTATGAGCCCATTTCCAAGTTTTTTTTGAACTACTCATGAGCTTAATAAATGCACTTACAAGTAAATAACAGTGACGCTGCTTGTTACGCAGAATATAAAGTCCAGAGTACCATTCACAACTCTGCCACCTGTTAACTTGAAGACTCTCTATGGTTTCTGAATGTACTAAATTCCCCCAGTTGATTTAAGTATCGCTCATTGAAATATTGTGTTCTCTCCTTATGTTATTATGGTTTATTCCGGTCTTTTTATTTAAATAGTGTTCATTTTTCCAGTGGTTGACTGAAATAGTACAGAATATGGCTCATAGTTGGAAAAAGAAGATATGGTCAGAGTTCCGTTTTCATTGTATCAAACTAATCTACAGAGGGAAAAAAACATTATCATCTTCAGCTTTTCTTAGCTTACATCAATGAACTTGTTCAGGCTGAGTAGTTTACAAGAAGATTTCTGGAGACCATAATTTTTGTATGATACCAGTTAAAAATTGTTCTGTCGCTTTAACAAAATCCCAACCATTCCACAATATCAAATGTCATTGTAAACACATCAGATCAAGAGATGTTTAGCTTTCTGTTGCACAGATGTACCACACTTTCAAATTCTTGAAAGCTCTGCTGTAAACTTAACCCACAGCTGCAATATTAGATTTAGGAACAGAACAATTAAATTGTGGCATACCAATGGCAGTATATTACTCCCTGCTTGTTAAAACAGCTTTGAGGATAAAACAAAGCTGATCAGTTATGAGGTCCCGGGTTTTGTTAGAGTTTTTGTTGTTGCTGCTGCTGTTGTTGTGCAAGTTAATAAAATCCAATGGTGCTATAACTTTAAGAATTGATTACACAACTGTCCATCATCTCTGAGCTCAGCTTAGAACATGTATATTGGGGGACTAGGAGAATTAAACAGTGCCGTATGATTGTTCCAGCTGACAGCTGAACTTGAAAAGTACTAAAGAGGCTTGAGGGAGAAGAAGTTTGTGCATCAGGCTAAATGCAATGCAGAAATACTAAAATGTCCTTGGTTGTTGTTGAGGTTGTTGTTTTTTTAACCTGTTGAAGTGAATTTTTTTAAGTCACCTATTTGCAATATACAGCGTCCTAGGCAGTTTGCATGTCGGACGAGTATAAGCTTAACCCTGCTTTGTGACAGGTTTCAGAGAGGCTCCAATGGTGCTATAACTTTAAGAATTGATTACACAACTGTCCATCATCTCTGAGCTCAGCTTAGAACATGTATATTGGGGGACTAGGAGAATTAAACAGTGCCGTATGATTGTTCCAGCTGACAGCTGAACTTGAAAAGTACTAAAGAGGCTTGAGGGAGAAGAAGTTTGTGCATCAGGCTAAATGCAATGCAGAAATACTAAAATGTCCTTGGTTGTTGTTGAGGTTGTTGTTTTTTTAACCTGTTGAAGTGAATTTTTTTAAGTCACCTATTTGCAATATACAGCGTCCTAGGCAGTTTGCATGTCGGACGAGTATAAGCTTAACCCTGCTTTGTGACAGGTTTCAGAGAGGCAGCCAGGTTAGTCTGTTTCAGCAAAAACAACAAGGAGTCCTATCTTTAAGGTGCCACTGGACTCCTTGTTAACAGAGGAGCCAACAGCTATGTGGGGCCCCTGGTCTAGGTGGAGGGTGGAGGTTCCATGCTCGCAGAAGAGGCAGGGCTGGGGGCAGCTACCCTCAGCACCACCTAGACCAGTGGTAGGCAATAATTTTTTAGGGGGCCACCTAATGGATGTTGGTACATGGTCATGGGTCAGCCCACCATGCCCCAGTCGGAGTCTGAGGTGGAAGGGGCAGGGCCAGGGACTCGTCTCCTCTCAGAGTTGTCTGGGGCTGGAGGCTTTAAATTAAAAACACAGCAAAGGGCTCATGGCTCCTGGCCCCGCCACTACCACATTGCTTGGCAGCCTCCTGGGATTGGCGTGGCTATGTAAAGGGCTCACGGCTCCAGTTCCTGCTGGGGTAGTGCCGACTGGGAGCTGGGAGCCATTTAAATAGGATCCTGCTGCCTGAGCCACTGCCTAGAAATCGGGTGGCATGAGCAGCAGGATAGACATAGGAGGTGGCCAGATGCAGTCTGTGAGCTGAATTAAAGTGTTAGGCTGGCCTGATCCACCCCCCTGGCCGCATCTTCCCCGCCCCTGACCTAGGCCATCATGTGCCACCCTCCTCCATCCCTGAGAGCCACCCGGAGCTCTGGGCATCACTAATGTGATATTAGCAGTGGTGGCAGTCAAAGCCCTGGCTCTTTAGAATTGCCGGGCCCTGGGGCAGTTGCTCCCTTGGCCCCTCCTCCCATTGGCAAGCCTGGTGGTTGTTACTCTGTGAGGGTGGGGAAGCTCTGCAGCCTTGGGCTCCATCTAGACTGGCAAGTTTTTCCACAAAAGCAGCTGCTTTTGAGGAAAAATTTGCCAGCTGTCTACACTGGCCGCTTGAATTTCCACAAGAACATTGACGATCTCATGTAAGATTGTCAGTGTTCTTGCGGAAATGCTCTGCTGCTCCCGTTTGGGCAAAAGCCCTCTTGCGCAAATGCTGACAGCCAAGAGGGCCAGTGTAGACAATTGTGATCGGGGCTTTCTTGCGCAAAACCGCGTCTAGATTGGCACGGACGCTTTTCCGCAAAAGGTGCTTTTGCAGAAAAGCGTCCGGCCAATCTAGACGCTCTTTTCCACAAATGCTTTTAACGGAAAAACTTTTCCGTTAAAAGCATTTGCGGAAAATCATGCCAGTCTAGACATAGCCTTGGAGTGCTGTCCTTCAGTGAAAAAGTACTGAGCTGATATATTGAGTTTTGCTCTCCACTCCTGCACATCTGTGGCCAATTCCACCGCTAGTGTAAATCGGCATAGCTGACTTCTGACCTCTCAGCTCAGCATATGTGGTCACAGTCGATACTTCAGAAAACAGCATTACACGTGCGGGAACAACTCGTGCTATATTTCTCTCAGCAAGGCCTGAGTTTCATTAAGCTAGAGACTGATCACTTTTCATCCGATTGCGGACAGGGGTCTGTCTAAAACAGAATTCCTCCTGCCCTCAAAAATTACTCTCTGCTCCCTCTCACTCTCCTATTAAGGAGACAGGACCTCAATTTTTCAGAGTTGTCAGTTTATATATAAATATTATATACTTTCCTTTGATTCCTTCCTCTCTTGCATATCAGAAAAAAGTACGAAGGAAGCATATTCAGCTTTGAACATTTGGGGTGAAATCCTAGCCCCATGGCTATCAATAGCAACATTACCATTAACTTCACCAGAGTCAGAATTTCCCATAGGATCCTAATTTCTCACGCTAGTTTTCTACCAATGTGACCTCGGTGGAATTATTAATGCCTTACATCAGCTCTGAACTTGGCCAGCCGTTGGTAATGAAGGCACTTCACTTCGTTTTAAAAAAAATCATCCCGTGATAGATTATTTATGGGGGAATTAACATATCCAGTATAGTGATAACAGATTTTTGGTGAATGATTGATAACATATATCCCATTTTAAGGAGTGTGTATTTGTGGGAGATTCATTTCTCTGGCTGCAGAACTGGAGATTTCTAGTGGGTTTATTTTATGCTGTTAATAGCTCTTCCTAAGATTTTTGGATAATCACTAAAGAGTGTTCATGATGTCCTATGACCCATCCTAACACAAGTCTTCATGTTAGTGAGCTAAATAACCCTGTGTAAAAACAGCTGGTTCTAACAGCCGTGTGAGCTAAAATGCTGATTTCCCTTTTGGTAAGACCTAAGATGGGGTGGGCAATGAATGGCAATGGTTCACCAGGGTTACCCAGGCGCAGGTAAATACAGCAATGTGGTGTACTGGATCTGACCCCCGGGCTGGTAGATCCCCACCTCTGATGTAAGAGGTCTCTGTGACAAAGCTGTAGAACTAACTGTTCTCTTTCTTCTTCCTTCGTGCTCCACCTATATTTTATGATTTTCCTTTTCCTGTCTTGCTTGACAAGATGTTTTTCCTCCTTTCCCCTCCTATAATGTTTACATCCACTCCTGTGTGTGTTTTTGTTCCTGTGCTGTTGGTTTGCTATAACCAAGAGAACCTATGTAGCATCAGAACATCCGGGTTTAAAATCTGGGGAGGAGGGTGAATTGTCAGCACAGGTACCAACAGGCTGTGCCAATGCTTTTTTGTGGCCCCATTAGTTTCTGCTCATTCTAACCTTTCATTTTTCCGAAGTTCCTTGTTACAATACTAACCTTACACATTGGAACCAATGCAGGGTTGTCTGAGCTTTCAGCCAGTGAGCCTGGCTCACTGGTCACCCATGCTAGTGTACAACAGGACTGACTTCTACCCTGAAGTCAACAGAGCTGCAGTGGATGTAAATGAGTACAGAATTGTGCCCAGAGGATCTAAGTGTGGCATGAACTTCCCACATTTATGTCACTGCACTGTTAACTCTGAAGCCTAATGATGGAGTTTTGTATCTGGACTATGCAACACCTGATCAGTACCAGAAACATCTAGGGTATGTCTACACTACAAAGTTAGTTCGACCTAACGTTCGTTAGTTCGAACTAACTTTCATAGGCGCTACACTAGCGCTCCGTTAGTTCAAATTTAAATCGAACTAACGGAGCGCTTAGTTCGAACTTGGTAATCCTCATTCCACGAGGATTAAGCCTAGTTCGAATTTACTAGTTCGAATTAAGGGCTGTGTAGACCCTTAATTCGAACTAGTGGGAGGCTAGCCCTTCCCAGCTTGCCCTGGTGGCCACTCTGGCCAACACCAGGCAAACTCTACTGCCCCCCTCCCGGCCCCGGAGCCCTTAAAGGGCCACGGGCTGGCTACACAGTTTGTGTCAGTTGCAAGGCTGCCAGCACCCGTGCCAGCACACCCAGCAGCTGACACCCATGAGCCAGCCACCCGATGACACCCAGCCCTCCCCCTATTCCCAGGACCAGCCTGGCGGCTGCCAGGAGCCTGCCCGGGGCCGCAAGAGGCGGGCGCCCGCGTGGTCTAGTGCGGAGATCGTGGACCTCATCGAGATTTGGGGAGAAGCCTCCAATGTCCATGATCTCCGCACTAGCCACAGGAACGCGGCCGTCTACGGCCGCATGGCTGCCAGCCTGGCCGCCAGGGGCCACCAGCGCAGCCGGGAGCAGGTGCGCTGCAAAATAAAGGACCTGCAGCAGTCCTACTCCCAGGCCTGCCTGCCAGGGGCCGACCCGGAGGCCTGCCCCCACTTCCAGGCTCTGGACCGCCTCCTGGGGGCTCATGCCGTCCCTGCCCCCCGGGACGTGATAGGCCCCGGGCAGAGGGACCGCTCCAGGAGACGGAGGAGGAGGAGGAGGGCTCCGAGAGCCAGGAGCCTGCCGGCAGCCTGCCCAGGACCCGGGACTCCCGAGGCACCCCACAGAGCCGCTCGCCTGTGTCGTCCGAGGCAGGGGAGGTGTCCACCTGTGAGTACCATCGTGCTCCCCTTATGTGTACGGGGGGCTGGGGCGAGAGGGAGCCCCGGGACCGTGCGCCTGGGCCTTGCCCACCACGGAGCAGCAGCTTGGGATCCTGCAGGGGCCCTGGCCGTGCAGAGGGGAGCTGGGTTTCACCCACCTGGGCCCCTGGGACCCTTATGTGTACGGGGGGCTGGGGCGAGAGGGAGCCCCGGGACCGTGCGCCTGGGCCTTGCCCACCACGGAGCAGCAGCTGGGGATCCTGCAGGGGCCCTGGCCTTGCAGAGGGGAGCTGGGTTTCACACACCTGGGCCCCTGGGGTAATTGACCGCTGTTCTTGTTGCACCACAGCTGCAGCACCTGGGCCTGCAGGG